TTATTAATTAAATTTTATTAATAAAATAATTTTATATCAATTTATTTAAAAAAAATTAATAAAATTATTTCCTCCTAGATATTATTCAAGACATATAAATGGACTTCTGAATACTTATATGTCTATAAAGTATGTAGATAGCCTGTAATGGAACGTAATTTTAGATTAAATCTCGCAAGTTCTAATTCCTTTTTTAATAGCTTTTGTATACTTATCAATGTGATATAAATTCGTTCAATTTTCCATAAACTTAGCTTAGAAATTAGACTGCGAACGGAAAGTTTCGTCTAGCTACAAAAGAGTCGAGCGACGTGGCGTGATCTCGCTGACCCCGCCGTGCCTCTCGCGCGAGGAGGCTGGCTTTCGGGCGACGATTACCATATTCCGAGCACCCGGTAGCCTGGCACGAATAATCCGTGTATTTTCGAGCCGTGGAGCCGGAGTCGTGTTTGAGTTTAGCCATGGAGCGCTATCGGTCTGCTCTATCTTAACGACGCCAGATCTGTCGTTCTCTCCACCCGATCCCGCCATCTCCTTCTCCCCCGCCACACGACCTGTCGGAGATCTCGTGAAAGAAGGAGAGAGAAGAATGAGGGGGAGAATCCAACGCGAGAGAAATACATCTGCCACCGAAATGATTGATTCGTCGCGGCCTTCTCTTCTATCGAAGGCAAAACGCTCCGGAAACAACTTTCCCGACGATCATATCTTGCGAAGAATCTCTGTCGATCAAGCAATTGTCTCGAGCGATTGTCGATAACTTGGTAATTAAGGATAATTCCGAGAAATAGTCTCGACCGCTTTATGCGATATCAATGTTTAACGCACTTGTTATTTAACAATATATTCTTGCGATGAAGAAACATGTTATAAGGGCATCTAAAGAATCTATCAAAATAATTTTCTGCTAGAAAATTATTATTTATAAACGTCAACGCACTCCTCAAGTCTGCATGTCTGTCAATTTTTAATTCGTCGAGATAATCTTCGATTAGCACGTGGGATATCCGGGATCGGAACGATAGTCGCGATCGTCGAGAACATTTCGACTATTTCGAGAGCCGTCTTTTTTTTCGTTCCGTTTCGTCTCCTTCGAAAGCTACGGAGGAAGAAAAGATTCAGCCCCGGCGCTAAGACTGTAATGTGTCGGCTTAACGTCAACCGGAGACAGTCGCCTATTTCGATCGCTCGTTGACCACGATTGCGGCTGCTTACGTATGTATGCGTGCGTGCGTGCGTCAGGAATCACACACGAGTGTACGTTCTCGACTGACGCGCGAGGAATCCGCGCGAGTCTTGTACGAAAGCAGCGAAGAGAATAAGAGGATGAGAAATTCGCGCGTGGAATATCCTCCTTTCATTGGTTCGAGCATCTCTCCAAGTCATAATTATTATCTAGACTGGATCTCTGTTGCTAAAAATATATCTATTAGAAAATGGAAGAATTATTCTCCTAAATCTAGGATAAAATTATTCCTTGAATTTTGTCGCGACATATATTATTGATAGATTGTTGAAAATAAAACGATCGAATTTACATTTCTGCGTGATTCTTCGAGAGAAGTTGATTCGCGGAAGAGCACGACACGTTCGCTTCGCGAACCAGAGAACAGAGGAGGATGAGGAGGAGCGATAGAAGAGACAGGGAATTAGATTCCACGGCGGAGAGAAATTGACAATAGTATCCAGAGAGACTCGATGACACACAATGGCAACTCGATACTTGGTTTACTGGCCGGAGAAAGATCCGGCTTTTCATTCTCTCGGGGAGAGAACGAAACACGCCGCTTGGCGGCGACGCTTCGATGATGGTCGACCTTTTGCCTCCGCTCTTCGTCGAAAGAGGAGCGTTTCATTGCCCGATCCGCCGTGTAATGGCGGTCCTTTTTGTGCGTCGGTTCGTCTCGCTTTTGAAAAAAAAAAAAAAAAAAAAAAAAAAAAAAAAAAAAAAAAAAAACCTCGTGACCGAGAAGGAAACTCTCTCGCAGTATTAAGTATCCATTACGGCTTCACGTTTCTACGCGAAATTACCCTCTCTCCCTCTCTTCGCTCTCCAAAGATCCTTCCTCTCTATTTCCCCAGAAGAATCTTCCAAGATTCTCGCGTCGCATCGGAGGAAGCGGAAGCGGGCGTATTCGGGAAATGTATGTTTCTTCCGAAGCGGGGAACAATCGGGGGAGCTCGTGGGAAGGGACCCGATTGGAATCAGTCGCCGCTCGCGGCGGCAAGGGAGAAAGACTTCTCATTTCCGCGAAGCCTGGTCCGCCGACTTACGCTCCCGTTCCCGCGGGCGTGCATTTGGGATACAGGAAGTTCGCCATTAGACTCTTCTAACATACGATCTCGAGGTAACATATCGTACGGAGAGTAACGTACGGAACGTAGCGAGGGATACGTAACGAATTGTAAATGTAATGAAATGTAAAACCACGCGCGAGATTCGTCGAACGTCTATCTCTGCGCGTTTACAACTGCGGGATATAAGCGGAAATTCGCATTTACATTATGCACGTCCTTAACAATATAAAATATTATTAAGAACGTGAAATCTTCGATTAATCTTTAAATATAAAATATTTGAAGAAAAAAAGAAAAATACATAAATTCCTTCTACACAAAGTGTGTGAGATGCATACATTTCTACTATTTTATAATGGAATTCTCGCGTGCTTCGCCCGGTTTTTTCATTTCAATATTTAAGTTGCGCATGCATAAATGTGCGTGCATGTAAGATTAAGATTACGCGAGCGGTTTCCGTCTTCGAGATTCGGCTAATTTCCTTGCTCTCTCGCGCGTCAAAAGCAACGGACGCCGGAACGAGTACAGAGATTCTTGTCCTCTCGAGATGCACAGCAATAACAAACGGTTCGCGATTCTCTTCCCTTCTCTCTCCACCCGCCTGTGTCAGGGGCGTAGTGTCTTTGGCGTAAGCGGCGTGTCTGGCGTACCGTATCTTGATTTCCAACCGACGCGATCTCTCCTAAGCTAATCGCGATAAGGCCGAGGAAAAAAGAACCCCCCGAGAGAGCGTGCGCCGCGCCGGGGGCAGAGGGTGCGAGGGGGGGGGTGGACTTGGGTGAAAGAGGATTCATTTGCGGCGCGCGCTAATTGGCTTGCGATTTCTCTGCACGAGCGGGCCTCAACCGCCAACGGACATTCGTCACGTATGCTTCCCCCCCCCTTATCACAGTGGGCTTTCTGTCTTAACAGCCCCCCCCTCTCTCTCTCTCTCTCTTTACCCTCTTATCGCCCGTTTAATCTCGTCGCGATGATCTTCTTCGCGAGATCAAAAAACGATCATAAATTATCACATTAATATTTAACACGATCAATCGTTTTAGGGGATTGCGTATAATAAATTAGAAAAATTTCTGGCAAATAAGAAAATGAATATATAAATTCTACATTTTATCAATAATATAAAATTTTTTTTAAACATGTTAAATTTTTAATAAATGAGTAAAAATCCAGAAACGCCATTTTTACGACATTATAGTAATAATTCCGCCTTTTAGAAATCATGCTGTCCATTTATCAACGATAGAAACGAAAACAATGGTACGAGTGACATTTCATCTCGTGAACGAGTTAATTTCGCGGAATTCCTCGGCTAGAATACCGTCGCGACGCGTGTCTCGTCTATTAAGGTCGTCGCCCACACGCTCTCTCCTTCTCTCTCTCGATCGTCTTCGAGATTTGTCCCGCGGAAGCGTGCTAGTCTAGCAACAACATCGAGCGATAGCCCGGCTGTCACGTCGTCGCGGGGGAGGTGAAACATCGTGTCCGATAAAAAAAAAGATTCTTTCTCTTTGTTCTTTCGCTTTTTCACGTCTCTCTCTTCCTCGTCTCTTTCTCTCTCTCTGCCTCTCTTTTTCTCTCTCGATCACGTCTATCGCGTCCCCCTGCGTGCCGTGGCGCTCGCTTCCGGCGCTTCCGGTATCACACGCCGTTGAGCACGCTCCACCCTCTCCAGGCGGCCCATGTACGTGTGTAAGGACCACGTCCGGCAAACCAGAAAGCATCCTAATTGTTGGTACAATACTGGGGGTCTCTCTGTGATGACGACGGCCCCTTTATTGTCGGAAAACCTTTGTACGTGTGTTTGCATACGGCCACCCCCGCGCTTGCTTCCAACAGGAATATAACATTGGAAAAATTAAGAAAAATTTAGAAGAAGATTTTTATTTTATTCCTCCTTATATAGACAGAGTGGGGCGTTTAACTTTATGATCTAAATTATCTCAATTATGCGTGTAATTATGGAAATATCCTTTCAATTAAGTAATGTATGTGTGTATAAAAGGAGAATAAAACAAAGATTTCTCTCTTTAAATTTTTCCCTATTTTCCGCGCAGGTGTCTGTATAATACACCAGATCTCTAAATTCGACCGAGAGGGACATTCCGGTAAAATATATACTAGATGCACTTTTCAATGTGATACGCACGACCGCGGGAAAAGAATACTTTTGATCTGAGATTATCAATCTTGTTTATAAAGCGTATTAAAGAGAAAAAAGAGGAACACCGCCAAGTTATCTAGCGATCGCTTTACGTAACATATAAGGTATTGTAAAGAAGAGTTTAATAAGCGATTGTCCCTGAACGTGGGTATTAATTCAAGACCCCCGAATCGCTACCGACTGTTTACCGAGGCGTAGAGCAACTTTCTCTTTCTCAATTAAACGACCAATTAACGAGGAAAATCGGAGTCTGCCGGTTGACTCGACAAATCTCAAGTTTAAGAGGTCATAGAAATCTAACGAATCAAACAATAGTATACTGTTTAATATCGTATAAAATTATTATATATTCAAACAGATAAATAATATTTTATTTAAATATATATTTTTGATATTTGTTTTTATTTTACATGTATATGACATTACATGTATTAAATTTATCTTGATTATCGATTTGCTAGACTCCTATTAATCCCTTAATACCGCATCAATAGAACAATAATTATTAAGAGATAATAATTAATGAGTGCAAACTCACGTTGTGCAACTTGTAGTAGAGTCCGCAAGCGTTGCAGACCGGCTCGCCCGCCTGATTCCTTCGCCAGAGGGTCGTGGTCGCCGTCTTGCAGTTGGCGCAGCTGGTGCCCGCCCGTCTCGCCGCACTCTGCAGCGACAGTTTTGGAAAAGAGAAGACACAGATATCACACCCGTCACGTTGGCGTTTCAGTTTTTGACGATCGTCGCACGATCATCTCTCGGTTAAATTTCACCTTAGCAATATACAGTTATATTGTCTCCCGCGCTATTAAAGTTTCCTTCAATTATAGACAATGATAAAATGATATGAAATAATGTGAAGGATCTTATACATGTGTTATAGTTTGTATATAATATTTAATCTTTTTATATCTTTCCAATATTTACATACTGCAGACGATAAAATTGATATATTAATAATAAAGTATACAAAAATCTCATCTCTCGTTTTTTGAATGCTAGAATCAGCTGATCGTCTAGAAAGTTTCCCTTATCTCAATTTTTTTATCTCATCGCACGCTCAAAGAAGTATATAAGATACTATTAGAAAAATGACGAGGAAAAATATTATCGCAATTAAATATTTGAAACAATCGCAAGATCAATTAACTTGAATTTCCTTTTATCGTATCAATTGTTAAAGGTCAGACTGTTACGTCAGTTCTTATAAAAATGTGCATCCGTCGAAAAATATTTTCGTATTATTTACGCATAAATGGAAAGTATTTTTCTATAAACCGTGAATAAAAATTGCGCCATATGAGAAAGGATTATGAGACGCGCGACGAAGTAAAGTAGTACTCTATTGAAGTGTACTCGAGTCCATTTACTCCCGCACCGGGAGCGCATTCGATCCGTCGGCTTACGCGCGGAATCAAAAAGCCACGGGCTTGACGCGGGTTACCATGACGCATCAAACCCCCTGAAAATCCCTCCCGATCGCTTGTCTGTCTGCCGGTCGGATCGACGTGCCCCCGAGAGGAATAGGGAGCAAGAAAATCAGAATGCGTATGTATGCGTGTGTGTGGAGCTTAACGTAAGAAAACGTCTCCCATTCTCGTAGAGTGGGAAACTCGAAAAAAAAAAAAAATTCGGCCCCGAAAACACCTGTACACCCTCGTCGACGCATACGAGTGGCACAAACACTTAACGAAAAAGGAAGCGGGATCCATTTTAACCCTCGGGGACTAACCGCGGCTTATTCTCCCCGAAATGGCGCGCGAACGTGAGGTGAAAGAAAGAGAGAGAGAGAGAGGAAGAGAGCACAGGTATCTCACCGCCGTTGAATCTGTATTATAATACCCTCTTCTCTGGTTTATATATATCCACCTTTCACTTTTCTCCTCGTCCTTTCCCTCCTCTCTCTCTCTCTCTCTCTCTCTCTCTCTCCTCTCTTTCTCTCGCTCTCTACCTATCTATTTATATCTATCTATCCATATATCTGTCTCTTGCCGATTATGCACGTCCGTTCAAATCATATTGGCTAAACGATACAAATCTTTATAAATCCAACAGCACGCACGCACGCGGCCCTTCCTCTTTCGTAGTAATGATTAAACGGTTTAATCATTTGCTACGCCCGGCGAGACTCACCAAGGCACGGGAGAACCCGCTGAAAATCATCGTCGCAAAAACATCGGGCACGTCGTCGTCTTTACGGCAAACCCATAACCACTTAACCGTTAATGGACGATACTGTTACCGAAAACCGTGTGCCGCGGGTAAATTCCAAGTGCATCAAGCGATATACATAAAACGTTTCATCGAAACAAATTAGACGCTGATACCACGAGATGATATTATTTAAGCCGTCTCGAGCCGCTTCGAATTATGATCGTTGGATAAATGCAAAATGATAGGCTATCATTCCCAAAAATTCCTGTCTCGGTTCTCTCTGTCGATTAATATTTTTTCAAACTTTCTCGCGTATGTGTTTAAGCTCAATATTATTATTATTATTATTAATTATTATTATTTAATATTATTATATAGAATCAATGTGTTTCGTGTAAAAATTTCATGTGTGATATAAGTATATTTTACACTAGTACCTCATTTTATTATTTAAAACGCTTGTGCGGCTGATAAGACACTTTGGCGACCATCATGCTGAGATAACGGGCGGTGACGGCGCGCGCACAAAATGTTTCTTTTCCACGAGAGGCGCCCACCTTTGACCCTCCGCTCTCTTTCGTTCACCCCCTACTCGCAAACCACTTAACCCCCCTTCGAGATGACACTGCACCCCGGCGCTCGGAAAGGCAGGACGAACGAGAGACTGTATACCTGCCTGCGTCATTGTCGGCGAAAGCACAAAATACAGGGGAACCACCCCGTCCTGCTCCCTTCCCCGTCGCTCTCGCATAATAGCGAGCTTATTGAAATTTCTTTGAGCGAGAGGGATATAGCTCTCTCGCGTGTGTCCCCCGTGCGGGACACGAAATTGCCCTCCATTGTCCCGCCCTCCTGTACGTTGCGTCACACACAATGAACTCTGAGACAGTACCAATTCTCGAGAGAGAAAGA